ATCAATTTCTCTCTCACATACATAGCCATCATGTCAGAACTGACTCAGCTGTCCCTCCACTGGGTTTCCACAACTGCACACTACATGGAAGGAGACTGTTCATCTTTCCCCTGATGAGCCATTGGTGGGTAAGAAGTACTAAAATGGCTCGATTCAGTTAGCAGTACAACTTCCTTAGGACTATGCCACCAGAACTGTGAGTAGATTTACTCACTCCTAAAACCAAGGCCTTGTATTTATCTATAGGTTCAGTGCCCCACATACTTCTATTTCCTCCGTTATTTTCTAAGTGAATTAACTTTGCTGTCTATTACCTGTATAAAGATGGCTGACCATGTTTGGAATATATACAGGAAGCTCCTGTTATAGGAACAGATTGCTGGTCTTTCTCCAGCAGAGCACCTGGTGGGTTTAAACCACTAACCTTTTGGTTGGCAGGCCAACATTTAGCTTACAGAGCTAGTAGGGCCCTTGTACCACCATGAATCAGGATTGGGATAGCAAAAGGAAAAAAGGAGTCACTTGTGGAAAGGGCCAAGTAATTTATCAATACTTTTTTATATTTTTGCAGTTAGTGTAGCTTTTGAGAAAAAGGCAACTATTGTAATAAACACATCTCTATTTTTTGGCAGCCAGCAAAATTTAGTTAAAGGTTGATAAACAAACTCATTCAATCTTGCTCCAATTTATCTTTCCAGCTCCCTCTCTTAAATTTTTGCCTAGACCCTTTTTATTCCTACCTCATTCAATCTTTTTATAGTCTCTGAAACCATCAGTCACCTTTTTATGTGTGTCTTTCCAAAATGCTAATCCTTCAGTCAGAATATTCTTCACCTTCAATTTTTATTCAGCCTTTGAAACTCAACTCAAATATTGGTTGCTTGGAAAAGCCTTACCTTACACAGCACATCATTAACCTGTATCACAACACTTAGAGTATCTTTATGAATCTGACTGTTCTGTTTTATCCTACTATACCGTAATTTCTCTGGTAATGGCAAATTCTATTGTTTTCATTGCTGTTTTCCCCATACCAATAACAGTACCCAAAGAGGATCAATAATAGGGGAATCACCAATATTTTCCCAAAATTAAGCATTCATTCAGTGTTGTTGTTGTTGTAATGTGCCATCTAGTCACCTGTGACTCATAGCAACCCTATGTACAGCAGCTCTGAAACCTGCCGTGTCCTGAGCCAGTCTCATTAATTCTGACACACCAACCCCCCATTGCCCCAGTCACTGTACTGATCCATTTTATCCAGGGTCTTCCTCTCCTGCGTTGTCCCTCCACCCTTCCAAGCATGATGTCTTTCTCCAAGGATTGGTCTCTCCTGGTCATATGCCCAAAATATGTGAGACAGAGCTTCAAAATCCTAGTCTCCAAGGAGAAACGTGGTTTAACCCTCTCCAAGATAGACCTATTTGTTTTATTGGCAGTCCATGTTATGCTCAAGAATTTTCTTCAGGACCACAATTCAAAGGCATTGACTCGTCTTCTGTCATTCTTAGTCACTGTCCAGCTCTCTGATAAACAGTAAGTAATTGCAAAGACCATGGACTTAGATCAGGCACACCTCTGTCTCTAGACTAACATTGCTGCTTTTCAGTATGCTGAAGCGGTACCAGACAGCAGATTTCCCCAGTGCTTCCTGACTGGTGATGCCAAGAGTGTTGACTGCGGAGCTGAGCAAGCTGAAATTGTTAACAACTTCAATCTCTACTCCATTTATCATGGTACTACTGTCAATTAGCCCAGTGGTGAGAATCTTTGCCTTCTTGATGCTGAGTTTTAATCCATATTGAAGACTACCGTCCTTGACCTTGTCACTGTTAATAATGTCAGTCAGGGATTGCTAAATCTATTTCAACTGTTCCCAGTGAGTCCGAAATGGAGCAAGGAAGAACAATAAGGGTCTTTCCAGGAGTCCACTGGAAGCTCCTTTTGGGTCCACCTGATGAACAGTGAATGTGCTGCGCATCACAATAATGACACCTGGATTCTGGAACCACTAACACTTGTACTTAAATCTTACTTCTACTGCTTCATAAAGTTAGCATGGAAAGGATCTTCAAGAGACTATGGAGATAACTTAAAGGTAAATTATCTCAAAGTTTGGCTCCTTTTTACACTTTTGATATTTTCAAAAAGTCTGTTTAGAAGTTATTAAGCAAAAATATGTTGTGTGTTTCTGGAAACTAGATAAAATCTATTCATCAATATATACATGATATAAGTGACATTAGTTATTACTATTATTCTGTAATTTTTAAAAACTATACTTACAGAGACATCAAAGTACCGCAGTGTCCCATTTAGCCAGAAAAATTTGACTTCTCTTAAAAAATAGAAACTGTTTGGGATGGTTATGTGCCATTGAGTAAACGGTAATTGAATGGTTATTCAGTTTTATTAAGACATGAAGGACTTCACGAGGCACATTGTGGCCTAGGGGTAAGGAGTTGCACTGCTAATCTGAAGGCACATGGATTGAATCTACCAGGCGCTCTGTGGGAGGAAGAAGGTCAATCTCTTTTCATGTGATTAACTCCATCTGAAAACCCACTGGAGGGTCAGATATGGGTCAGTTTCTATTCCATGGTACATACAACAACAACAACAACAACAACAACAACAAAAATAAACATATAACACGTAGAATTACAAAATCTCCCTTCTACATAACAACAACTGCAACAGATGTCAATATCTTTCTGTTTAAAAAAATGGCTGTATAATTGGAAACTGTGGGGAGTTATTTTAAAAAAGAAAATTTTTTATTTTTACTAGTTTAATATAGTTTTTAAAAAGGTGTATTTGCAACAGAAAAAAAAAAAAAGAGAGAGAAAGCAATGAAAGAAAACAGAAAAGGAAAGCCAAAGAATCATAAAAACTAATCTGAATCCCTTTAGGATAAAAGCAGGTGGCATCATATTTATCAACAGCTCTTAAGGGTAACATTGTGTATAAGATGATGTTTAGTACAGCAACTGACAATGTTAATAATAAAACGGAGTCATCATGAAAATGTGAAATTATATTCACTGTGCTATTTTTTTAAAAAGTGAGGCTATATAATACTGCGAGATTCATTTAGAATATTTAAAATTTGAAAAGATGTGATATTTACAAAACTCTAGAAGAATCTAGTTGTGAAGTACTCAATTCCTTGATGGTTACTTTCCAGATAATCATCTAGGCAAGAGTCTATGATGCCTAAGATCTAGGGAGGTAAGAGCACTGGCTTTGTGATGACTGCCATTCGCTCTTTCCCTCATTATTTCTACCAGTGTTCTGGCTGGGGCTGTCAGAAGACTAATAACTGATTAAGTGGGTTGTGAGCTAATCTTCAAGAGTATGAATGAATCATTGGTTTACTACTTATACTAAAAACAATAATTGGTCTCCTTAGTAAGATAAGGCTTTATTTAAATAAAAATTGCAGTTCCTCACTAATACAAAATTTTAAAGCCCAGTAATCAACTTTGTACGTCATGGTAAGAAGTATTTCAAGTTTACTATATTTCAGAGGGAGGGATAGTCTTAGTAAACTTGAACAATTAAAAAATGAATAAATCCTCACTGTTATAGTATGATATGAAATATAAAATACAAGTCACTCTTCACCATACTGTTGTTATTATTATATTTATCTCTGCTTCACCAGGAACACAAAAAGTGAAAAAAGAAAAAAAAAACAAAAAACAACCCAACATGGTTTTTTTAGTCAAGAAATGACTGAAAATACGTAGTTATGTCTATGAAAGATATTCAGTGCAAAAAACCTAAATATGATAGTTTTAAGTTTCCACCTTAATTTGGTTAGAATATGAACCTTATACTTGCTTATGATCTTTAAAAACAAGAAAATTTATTAAAATGGGAAAGGTGTCACCTTTACAGATAATCCCCTAAAACACAGTGACAGAAAATCTTGCTCCTTAGGATTAATTAAAAAGAAACTCATTCTGTGTTAATTTACAATTAATATCAGCTTATGTCACAAAGTATCAGTATCAATTCCACTCAAAAGACTGTAATAATTTAAAAAATAAGTCAATGTAATAGACATCAAACATTATTAGGTGACTTCACTGATTTAAAAAACTTTTTTACAAAAAAAGAAACTTTTATAAAAAATATTAGAATGGATTTCAGGTGTACTTTGAATGGTTACTAACTCTAAGGAAAGAGTTATGACAAGTTTATACTTTTATAATTTTAATAAAATGTTATGACAAAAAAAGGTTTTTTTTGCCAAATAAAACAAAGTAAGTAATACAATGATTTAAATATGGGTATTCTGTTACATCAAAAAAGATCCAAGCCAGGCCTTTAGGTCTCTAGTTGGTGGAACTGATCATACACAGCCTTTTCTTCTCAGCCTTCTTCAGTATTTAATACAAATTCTAAGAACTAGCGGGTCACTTTAGGGAGTTACCTTCTTTCAGAACATTTCTTAAGCATTTAGATATTTATTTAAAAAATGGCTTAAACCAAATATTGGCTAGGTCTCAGGATGAAAACTTATGATTGTTTAATCCTTGATGATCTGGTCTGTACGAAAGTGCCATTATTCTCACTATGCTTTACTCTGGAATATCACAAAACAGAAAATAAAATTCACCTCTTTAAGAATTTCAATCAATTTCTTTCCAAAGCTTTGATAGGAATTAGCTAGTAACCTGGTAAAAAACATCCTGAAAAGATTTGCACACTTCTTCTTCAAAGAGTTTCACCTGAACATATTTAGTTATATATTTTAGAAATATTTCACAAGTAAAGATGGTTTCTCTAAAACTTTGTGATATTCTACTGAAGGCAGTGGGTAGTACCCAGTACCATGGTTAAGCTACGCAAGTTGATGACTACATCATTTAACTGCACCATTAAAAGTTCTTAACAAGTAGAAACTTCTGTTTTCTTAGAAGTTTGTTTTTAACTTCAAGAAGAAAGGATAAAAGTAAAATATTCACCAGCAAGAGAAGATAAACACTTACTGGTACTTTGAATGGTGAGGTATTTGCAGTGTCCATGGAGCTGGGTTTCTCTGATGTACTAGTCCCTGAGATACTCCGTCTGCGAGGGGACCTTTCTGCAGGCACCTCTGGAAAAGACCAAAGAGAAAGAAATATTATTCAGAACTCAACATTTAGAATCTTTTGCTAAACTTTAGTTACTCATTTTTTGTCCACAAAAGTAAGTTTGCTTAGAAGATGGAGTGCATTTGACTTTCATAGGATTTGTCTCTTTTTTCTCTGTACTATTTCCAAATACCAAGATTCCAAGGAGATTGGATCACAGATGAGAATGTTTTAATGTGACAGCTTTTCTCTTTACCCATGCAAACATTAAAAAACCATTTTCTCTGAGCTTTTCTTGCTATCCACAAGTTAATTTTCTATTTGTACTTCACAGTGTATGAATGCACTTCTCTCTTTGTCAGAAACACAGGAGTTAATAGATTAAAACAAATTTCTGATATTCTTGTGAATAAAATACAGTCTAGTGTTGTACATGATTGGATGGTGTTTGCAAAAAGGTCAAAGTTCAGCTCTGTGCACAGAAGATGATTCACCAGCCTGCAACCAATGGGTCACTGAGAAGACTGAAAGCCGCTGCCAGGATAAAATCACATATATGCCTATGCAGATATAAAAATAGATCAGCTTCTCCTTGGTTCTGGCAATATGACCTTACTAAGATCTTACTCCGGAATCCAGAATCTGTTCAAACTGACCTAGAAGCTTCAAATTTTGCAGAAGAGAGAATCTTCTCCAGTGCAATTACCATATACATTATATTTCATATACATTTTAAGATTTCTTTCGTAGATACACACACACACACACACACACAATTTCTACACATTCACACTTGCACACCGTTGATAGATACATACATATTATACCTTTATCACAACTGCTTCCCATCTCCACTTCAACTGACAGACATACAGGAATCCAGCTTCTCAGACAACATTAGATAATCTCAACATGGACAAGGAAAAAAGAAAACACCACCACATCCTAAAAAAAGTATTCCGTGTTCTCTTCCAGATCTTTAAAAAAAAGGAGTAAACTGTGACTCCGGAGACTGACATTTTGATTCCTGCTGTTCTCCCTTTAAAAGACAGATGCAGTTTAAACTTCCATTTCTGGCCTCCTGGCCCCTGGGATCCGTGCTACTTCCACTTAAGAGAAAGCGTTTTTTCTCTCTCGCTCCCTCCCTCTCTGTGGCTTGCTCTTCCCCCTCCCTTCCTACAGCTTGCAGTGAGAGCAGCGAGAAAGAAACAGGACTGCAGCTATTCAATCAATCCTTCCCACTGCACATCCTCATTAGTTACTTTCAGGCTATTAACAGACGCCCAACCACTGCTCCCCCAGTTACAGAGCATTTCTCTGTATTACATTAATCTGCAACAAGGAAAGAAAATTTACTGAAATTTATATTCTACTAGTGCCAAAAGGACACCATTTTACATAGACCCAGTAATGCACACAAATCAATCCCTCCTATGAAAATTCAATTGGCAGTGCTTATCCTATTACTATCTTTGCATGCTGGAAAGTGATGTGCTTTTTTCTATGACTAATACAGAGTGTCTTCTCTGTGATATCTTGATCAGTAAGACCTAAGCCAAACTGCAACATTCCTAACGACTGAGAGGTTGACAGCAAAGCATCTTATGTGACTGCAGTACAAGAGAGTTTGATGCTACTGTATTTTAAAATTATGGCCAATAACAGTCTCTCAACTCCTAACCACCAGTGGTTAAATGAGCCTTAATGCATAAAGCCATTTTCTGAATTAGACACATATGACTTCTAACACTTTTCTCTTTTTTTAAAAAACAGTCTAATTAGCTCAAATTTGTGGAAATGGCACAAAGCAGTAAATTTAAACAAATCAGCTTGTCAAAGCACACTGAACAACAAGGCCTCAGTCTTCAAAACTATGATTTAACAAAAGTCATTTTTTCCAAGTTAGAAATTACTATTTGGATCATAGGAGAGGTTAGTAAAGAAAAAAGAAAATCTTACTATTTAAGAATCTGATAATTGCTTACCAAAGGTAATTTCTTATAAAATGACACTATTACAGAATAGTTTATTTTAATTTCCAAATAATTGACAGGAAACCAAACTTGGAAGTAAAAAAAAAAAATTCTAGTAGGAAAGAGAAAACAAATAATTTTAGAAAATAAACAGTTTTCCCTTTATTTGCAATGTCTGGTTAAGAACAGAAATCTGAAACGGAATTTGTTCATTTTATTAAAAAAAAAAAACCCAAAAAAAACTTTTCATGAACTCATTAGCAAATACATTTAAATGTTTTTAACTATTTTGAAATTGTCCTTGCAACATGAGAAACCACATTTCAAACTCCAACAAATAGTTGTTATACCTTTTCTCTTTTAGATTCTCTTTCTAGTTAGGTTCAGAAAGAGGACAGTACTCCTGAAATGGGAACAACTGCTACTGAAAGAGGGGAAAGGAAGGAAACCAGATAAGAAAAAATGAACTAATAACAAAGAAGTCTATACTGTATCACTTTCTCTGCTTCCACAAAAATGCAACCTCTGTACAAAGGGGAAAGGACTTGAGCTTCGAAGTTCCTTAGTTCTCAGAAGGACCATGCTACTTCAAAGAAGACAGAAGAATATATACCTGTCCCCTGATCCACACCCCGTATCATCTAGAAATGGGGGAACAATATTACCAAGAGCAGAATCAACAGTCTGCTGGGTTAGTCACAGGCAGGCTTGAATATTAAACAGGACCAGTTCCTTTTAACTTTTAATCTCCAAGCAGCAAGCAAGCTGTACTCTTAAAATAACATTACTACTGAATTAGAAAGAAATCTTTATAGTTCTGATAGGCAGAAATTAGACAGTGAGTTTCCCTACTCTGCTACACACTTTTGAATTATTTTACCTGCTGTAAAATGAATGTTCTTTCAGAATCACAATATTTAATTACAGTCACTACTGAATCTGCTTCATTTATATTGAGACATAATAATATTTTAGCAAATAAAGCTCTAAAACGGCTTCATTCACTTCCTCATCCTCTAGAAATATTTCTTATTTTTAGATTAGAAGACAAATAAGTTATAAAAAGCCCCATTAAGGTTTTTTTCCCCACCATTAAGTTTTAAATTTATCTTTTCATCTCCTTTGCCACTGGGTATGAGCTGAGATGATGTGACAGATGACTTATAATAATGAGAGAGAACCTTTAAGTCAGCTCCACAGAGGATGATGCACTGAACAAAAAGAAAGTCTGAGTGCTTCTCTTAACAGCTCTACCAGGGTTGTATGATTTTGTGTATGTCATTCTAACTTTCCTGTCTTGGTCTTCACCATTTAACAAAATGGGCTATTAAGTCAAACCTGGGGACTACTGTTGATAAGATTAGTAAGTTTATATGCTTTGATACAAAATATTATTTTTGGAGGAAAGGAATTCATTGAATCCAATGTGTGAGAAAGTTAATATTTATTTCCTCAACATATACTCCTTCTTAAATCTCTTGTATCTTGGAAATAGGTATCAATGTGCTTTCTTTGAAAAGCATTGCAAAGAAAGAATCAAATAATTGTAAGCATAAAAACACTTTTAGAGGGAGTTATGCTGGTTCCCCAAGTAGAAGTCAGCATCTGCCTTACACTGCTCATAGTCTAATTTATGAAATGGATGTTAAAACGAAATTTCTTCCTTGGTATCTCATAAGTTAAGGAAAAACAATGTATTTGGGGAAATCTAAGGAGTTTTTAAGTTGAAGATGGAGGCATACGACAGAAATGACTGATTCAGTGGCTATATCCTTAAAAAGTGAAAGCAGGACTTGGATAAACTCTTTGTTTTGATTTTGTAACTGGTATCAGCACATGAAAGGAGTACTGGTGGCACAGCAGTTAAGTGACTGGGTGCTATCAAAAGAGCAATGATTTAAATACCACCTGAGTTAGGAGCTGGGAAATTTACTTTGCCATAAGCTTTGAAAAGATGCTCCTGCTGCATCCTACAGTACAGAAAGAACCAGTCTAAAGTTCTAAAATTTGTCTGGTAGAACAAAATATTTGAGATGAACAGAGAGCCTTCTGAGGTTCATACTCCAAAGATAGCTACGTTTATTTGTAGCCATCTATTAGCTTTTAAAGGAGCCTTCATGGCAGAATGGTAATGTGTTGGGCGGCTTACTGAAAGGTCATCAATTTAAATCCACCAAACACTCTGGGGAAGAAAGAAGGCAATCTCCTCTAGAAAGACATATAGGCTCAGAAAGCCATTGGGGGCATTCTTAAGGAGCTGGACTTGACACAAGCCAGTGAGTTGGGTTTGGTATTAGCACTAGCGTTTAAGGTTATAGTTGAGGGCTAAATAGTCAGAAGCCACTCAAAGCTGAGAGTTTTCAGAGGCAGTTGGTCACACTGGAGGAGACGTCTTTCTCTTTCTCCCACAGAGCAGCTGGTGGATTTGAACCACGTGCCACTGGGTTGGCAGCGCAACTCCTTACCATTAGGTCATCAGAGTTCCCAGGCTTCTAAGGTTAGAGGGGGAAAATGAAATCCAAAATATACTTTAATATAAAATATAATCCCCGATTTATCTAAGTATTCTCGTCAAATGCATGAAAACTGTTTGCTGTTGTCAAGCCTGTTTTTGACTCATGGCACTATGCACAATAGGATCTGACTGTTGCAATCCAGAGTTTTCACATGCTTTTTTTTTTTTTTAGAAGTAGGTCCACAGGCCTTTCTTCCTAGTCATAGTTTCGAAACTTGGCCAAAATCTATTTAGTATCATACAGTATCAGACAGATGAGTGGTGAATGTACTCTGACCAGAAATTGAACCCAATACTTCAGCACGGAAGATGAGAATTCTACCACGGCAACATAGAAAATGAAAATGCCACATACATTCATGAATAATGTTGATATAGCTGAGTTGGAAGTGACCCACAGCTGACCCTCCAGCAGGTTTTCAGAGGCAGTTAACTGCATAAGAGTTTGCCTATTCTTCTCTCATGGTGTTGTTATTGGTGGATTAGAACTGCATGCCTTTGGGATTGCAGCACAGCTTCTTACCACTAGGCCACC